TTCTATCCCAATGCATGACTTCTGTCTTGACATTTCATCCCAGTTGATTTCTAATCTCTGACCTAGACAGAAGTCAGGAGAGAAACATCTCAAATGCATTTACTTGGCTATGAACTGCAGATGTTCAATCAGGGAACCCAACCCTTTGGTTATAAACAATGGAAACATCATTGTGACCTGGCCTTCCCTCATGTGGTCTGGCCCTTCCTCTATCTCAGGACAGAAGAATAGGCAGGACATTGTGCTGGGAGCCTCTTATCTGTCCAACTAAAAGAGCCAAGATATGCAAAGGAAAGGGAGGAAGCCCTCTTCTATTTGGATGTGATCCTCTTAAGTTTGCTTTACAGTGAAGTCACGCTAAGGGTGTTCAGAAACCCACATAGCTCCTGGCATGGTTCCTCTCTACTTTACTTATTCTCTTTGATAGGAACCTCCAAAATGCACACGTAATGCCTCAGATATTCCCTTAACCAATGTTCTTTAATGCTAAATCCCCACATTTTGTTCATAGTCATTATGAAATAACATTTTATTTAATGTCTGTTTTTCTCTTTAAATGAATTTTTTTCTATGCAAATAATAGATTTTCTTGCTAACAACATCATTGATCTAATTACTCAAATCTCTTTCCTTAGAATTTCCAACTCCTGTATAATTTCATTTCAGTGATTAAAAAAAATGAGGGGAAATTGTGGTAAAAAAAATCTAAATTTTCAATGACCCTACCTGCATAATTTCGTTTCAGTAATTAAAAAAATAAAGTGAAATTATGGTAAAAATCTAAAATATTATTTTTTTCCTTTTTACAAAGCTCTTTGCTGAACTCATAGTTTATGTACATTTTTTAATTAATTTTTTTCTTTGTTTCTAGGACTTGAAATTTCTCTAGAATTATATATGTCAATTTCTCATCCACAACTTCATGCAGAGAGTGAAGATTTTTGGAGAAGTGCTATGGTAGAAATAAGAGCTAATTTACACCTGACAAGAAACGTTTCTATCTTCATAGAGCTTTCCCATTATGATCAAAAAGGTTACCTTTTAGACAATTATACTAACATTAAACTTTTTGCCCAAGGATAGGATTGTGATCTGCCATTTTTTCTACTTTGTCAAACTATGCAGACCAACCATGAGATATAAGGCTTACTTAACTGACAATGTCTACAACTCATTGAAAAGAATCTTTCCAGTAGGAAAAACTATGTGTCAGTTGGCCATTAAAACTACTCACCACTATACCCTCTCATCTATAGAGTGGAGATAATAATAGTGATGGTAGTACCTATCTGAGAGGGTTATAGCAATCCATATTTAAAAGATATACTATGTGTACAAGTGCTTTGCAAACATTAAATCATCATATACCTGTCATCATGTAATGTAAATGTAAAATGTAGTATAAAAGAGTAGGGATTGATTAAGTCAATCTAGTTACTCCAACTTACCTAAAGTAAAGGATAAAATGCTATGCTTAGGTGCCTTAGCCAGGTGGGTGGGAACACATTTTGATTGAATGAAATCAATCATAGGCATTCCGACTAAGTATGAATAGGCTTTGATCAGTTTAGTTGTCTCTGATGAACCATTGGGTGAAGTAGAAGTGACATTGTATAGGAATAGTGTTCAGACTGGCTGAGGAGACTTGGTCATGTCCTCAGGGTCGGCTACAACATATTAAATCTCTATTGGGGCCTGAGAGAGATTTGGAGTTTAGTGCACCTTAAGCAGTGGACAGAAGAGAAAGTCATCTTTGAGAAGGAATGCTTGGGGTTTATGGAGGGATATACTTCTACTTAGGCCTTGGCCAGAGATGGAGTTTGTGAAAATTCTTTTGGAGGTTCTGAGAACTTCCCATCTTCCCACTAATATCCTTCTAGCATACATGGAACAGCCGAGAGAGGTGGTTACTAACAGAAAACTCCATCCATATCTAAAAGGGACATTTTGAAGACTGAAGCAAAGGGACTTCCAGGACCTAGGAATTCAATCTTTTTGTCACACCTTCTCTCTAACCTTGAGTTCACTTTCCCATGGACTCTCTCTCTACTTGTGAGAGTGTGTGTCATATACTTTTGGAGGGATGTTTTATACCAACTGTTCTTATGCTATCCTCTTAGTAAAATGATTCTCAACTGATAATCCTGATAAGAAACACACTGGTGGAGACCCATGAGCAAATAGCATCAGAAAGATAATTACTATACCTTCAAGGCTTATGTTTTCTGCCAATTACGTTGTAGAGACTGTGGTTTTCTATTTGTTAAGTTGAATTCTTATAACTTTTTCTTTCATAAAGAGACTGAGACATTTTGTTTTCAAAGGAATCTGAATCTCAGAATTCTAGGGAAGAAATCCATTTGTTTAACAAAGCTAAGATGCTTTCAGTTTGGACTGAAGTAAGTTTCTCTCTCTTTTGAAATTAATTTGTTGATTAGCTTTGGGTACTCAATCATTTCATTTTTCTACTCTGTGATCTCTAGCTGATTTCTTTCTTCCTGGTTTCCTTTCTTAACCAGAGAACATTATGACTTTTTGGGAATCATATGCCTAAGTACAAGTGCTGTAGACTAATTTGATCATGGGAAATTAGGATTTTAATCCAGCCTTGAGCATAAACTACTCTATAATGTGGAAAATCCACTAATTAGATAATAAAAATATCGATAGGTTAATTGATTACAATTAATTAAGGGACAGCTCAAAAATCCAGAGCTCATAGTTTTGTGATGAGCAAAAAATTAGTGGATATAATAGTAGTAATAACAATAGTAGCATTTATTAGTCATTATAGTTTGCAAAGCTCTTTACATGTTATCTCTTTTGATCTTCATGTCTGAGAAATTGTTTGCATTGTTGCAAGATTTCATGGTAGTATGGAATGTAAAGGCTGTGATAGTAGAAAGTGCGTCTGGAATATCAATACATCAAGTGTTTGCTTGATGTATAATGTAGGAAGTCTCAAGATATAAGGGATGCTACCTAAGCTGAGTACATTGTGGACTTTTAGAGAACATTTCTGCCTTTTTCAAGTAAATATAGGCTCTACTCAAGTTCCTGTGCTTTCTTCAATGAATATAAATTATGAGATATTTTTAAGAGTATTTTTTTTAATCCTTAAATTTTCCCTTCATCTTTTCCCACCATCATCAATTCATCACCTTGCAACCAGTCTGGAGGTGTTGAGCCTCTCCCTACAGCTAGGTGGCTGCAGTTGATAGAATGGATAGAGTACTGGACTTGGGGTCAGGAGGACCTGAGTTCAAATCTGCCCTAGGACACTTAACGGCTGTATGATCCTGCGCAAGTCATTTAACCTCTATTTGCCTCAGTCCTCTTATCTGTAGAATGGGTATAATAATAGCACCTACTTCTCAGAGTTGTGAGGATCAAATGAGATAATAATTGTAAAGTGCTTAGCACAGTACCTGGCACATAGTAAGCACTCTATAAATATTAGCTATAATGTAACTTAGCCAGACTGGTCCTTGGACAAGAGACATGTGGTCTATTACTGCTGCCTATGGTGCAGGTGTGGCTGCACCACTCCCCAGCTCAATAAACTTCAGTGGATCCCTATTACCTCTAGCAGCAACTATAAATGCCTTCCCTGTTTGGCCCTTAGAGTCCTTCACAACCTGCACAACCCTATATTTTTAGCCATATTATACATTATTCCACGGTACAATCAAACCTATTACTCCTCACGTGTGGTACTTCATAGCCTATCTCTGTGTCTTTGCACAGGCATCCTCCACACCTGCTATGCATTGTCTCCTTATCTCTGCCTCTTGGAAACTCTAGCTCCCTTTGAAATTCAATTTGAGCCCAACTTTGACATGAAGCCTTTCCTGATCCCACTAGCTGCTAGTGACTCCTCCTTTCTGGTGCCCCAAAGTGTTAGTGTGCTTTTAAGCTTTCAGTAGCTATACCTATCTGTATACCAGTATGTATACATGTTGTCTCTATTAATGAAGTGCAAACTCCTTCAGAGACTTGTCTTGGTATGTCTAGACAATGGTAGGAAACCTGTGGCCTTGAGGCCACATGTGGCCCTCTAGGTCCTCAAGTGCAGCCCTTTGACTGAAAGGCTACAAGTGGCCTGGAGGCCTCAGGTTCCCTGCCCCCAATCTAGCACATAGCACAGTGACTAGTACATAATAGGTGCTTAATAAATGCTTATTGATTGGTTGATTGATTGAAGAGAATAGCCATTCTCTCTTTGCTCCTAATAGTTCTCTTTCAGAGACTAATTAAGTTTACAGATAGTCCCATGGGGCATGGAACAGCCCTAGAAAGAGGTGGGTTGATCATGGGCCATTGTTGATTGTGTAGATTCCAAGAAGACTTAAATCATTCCTAGGCCCATCTAATGCAGGGCAAATGATCTGGTGATTTGGTTTAGATCAGCACTTATCCACAACCACCCAAAACAAATCTGAATTCCTGAAATGACTTGGCAATGAATAATTTTTTTTTTTAACCAAGAAGTCCTATACTAAAACATTCTTCTGACACCTCATCATAGCATGGCATGATAGGCTATGCCAGTGGGCAGGGAAATCTTCAAGTATAGGCCCAGAGATACTGTAAGTCTTTAGGGATCAGTGTTATATGTTTAGAGAGGTTATCAGCTTAGCTGCAGTGAAGTGAACTTTTTTAGTCATAGCAATTGTGGCAGACCATCTAATTAAGTTTTAAATGTATTTTTTATTTCTACCAGTAGAAGGTATAAAAACACAGATACATTTACAGGTAATAGAAGTATTTAAGAATGAGAAGTGACCCTGGGTAGGACCATTCTTCTTGATCTGGGCTTTATTGGTTTGCTGATTTAATCCATGAATTTTGCTGATTTAATAACTGAGGCTAAGCTAGAAATGCAGCCATCTTTGGAGGGGAGGGAGTCAGTGTTAAGTAAGAGGCCAAGAGAAGTTTGCCTCACTGTATTTCTCCTATGCATTATCTGGATAACAAACTGAGTTACTAAGTTTTCTTACCTGATATAGACTGCAAAGATAGTGATTAGTCTTGATCAAAAATGGTTGGCTCACCCCTGGGTGGTCTACATCATGGGCTGCAGCTGATAGCAGTCCAAGCATAATGTCCAGTGGTGTGAGGAAGCTTCTGAGCTGTGGAAACAACAGAGAAGGGCAATTTACCAGTTTGTTCCTACAGGCTGGTCAATATTTCTTTTTTACTAAACCAAACTCAATCATAATAGCATCATTCTGTTCCTTTGATTATGGAAAGTGTGTCATGTCTTCTTCAATTGTGACTTTCTTGTAGCTCATTTTTTGGGATGACACTCACTTGACCAAGTTGTTAAGGATTGTAGCCATAGGTTCCCAAAGTGGGCAATACCACCCCCTGTGGTGTGCTAGAATGATCCAGGAGGGCAGTAGTAGCCTTGGTTGCAATTTGGGGGTGTTGAATAAAAATAAGGGGCAGTGGAAGCATAAGGAAAGAAGAGAAGATAGGAAAATTTTGAAAAACCGTTTGTACATGTTTCATCTGTTGTATTATAGAGTTAAAGTTGTGTGATTACATTATTTTCCAAATAAACACACAAAATGCAAGTTATAAACGATCAGTGGTCAAATCCACCAACAGGTCTTAACAAGCAAGTGCTGGGAGGTGAGTGTGTCACACATTGTCGGGAAGTCCAGCACGGATTGGCAGGAATATATGCATGTAATGATTTGTTTACAAGACAATACTATACACTGTATAGTATATGGTTACATGACAAAATTGCATCATCAAAATTTCAATGCAGGACAAACCCCACAAATTTACATTAGTTATTAAATTTTAGATGCATCATTTAAAAAATATTTTATATTTTTTTGAAATGACGGCAATTTCAAAAAACCATTAAAGAGCTAAAGAAAGTAAATTTCCAGAGAGGAGCTAAGTAATTTTTTTTAAAAGGGGTGGTAAGTGAAATAAGTTTGGGAACCTCTGATTGTAGCCAACATTTAATTATTCAACCTGTGGATTATATCAGTCCATTCTCCCTATCTCCACTGCTAACCTGTGGTTATTTCACATCTTGTTAGGACTTCCATTAAATTGTGAATAGGGAGAAAAGGAACAAGTCAGATAGACTATTAGTCACCATCTTGGAAAATGATTTAGTGAAGGAAATTGTTGAGACTAAAGTCAATTGCATTCTTGGATTATCCATGAATTTAAAATAGCCAAACCATCCTTGTCACACATTACAGCAGATTGAGAGGGGGCTCAACTGGCAGTAATGAAGTGGAATTACAGCATTTGAATGGCATCTTCAGTATATAATAAGTAGTCTGGATTATGTGAGATCATATGTAACGAAATCCTCTTATTAGCATCCCAGGCACAATTGCAATGAGTCTTCTTTACTTCCCAGTAGAATGGGAGGGGCTATAGATGCAAGAAGAGAACTTAGGAGCCAATTTACAACTTGCATGAGCCAAAGCTGAGATAGGCCTTCACTACAGCCTTGAACTGGAGGCATTTTAGGGAGAGATATTGCGTGTCAGAGAGGATAGCTTCAATATCACAGCTGAACAAAGGGAAATGGCTAACAAAAAAGATGATGCCTCAGGCTAATTCCTTCCAGTTACTGATGCTTTAAGGTTCCCTCCCCTGTGGTATTTCCCTGGTTTTATTCCATGCAAACTACCCCCTATCTTTAGCCTTTCTGCTCTTGGACTCAGTTCACACCTTCCTGCTTAGTCATCTAGAGAGCTGCCTCTGTGAGCGCCTAGCTTTGACCTCAGTTCAGCTTTCTGTTCATTCTCTTAGTTTTTAGTTGGAATAATTTCTACCTCAGATTTGGGTCACAAGTTTGTAGATTGTTAAAAGTAGAAGGGATCTTTGAGACCAACTAATTTAAATGTTTTGGAGGTCAGAAATCAGAAGCCTGGAGAAGTTAAACTATTTGTTCCAGTATACAGGGTTGGGGAATTCTTTTAAAATTTGGAAGAATCAAGTCAGTATTTGATTCCCAGATACCAGGTTATGCATAATTGTGTCTAGAATTAGCTTGGAACCTAGGGTAGAGTCACCTGCTTTATGAAGGGCACGTTCCTTCAATTTTGGCTTTGTCACATCACCATATGATTCCTCACAACTCTTATGTCTTGGATTTATGCTCAGAACATGCTGTGTCATGTTTGGCCTATAGTAATCATAATTTTAGTCTGAAGTACTTCCAAGTTCATTTTTGGAGATCAGAAGCCATGTATTAATCTCTAGTATGACTCGATATGTTTTCTCAGGTCAATGAAATTACTGGTATTTGTTAGTGACAAATACCCACTTCCAAGTACTTTACATATTTACCAGCTAAGTGTAATATATATGCCATACAGTTTACTGTGGGGAACAGTTTTCTCCAAATGAAGTTTTTTCTAATACATAGTAAAGAAAAGATAGTCTTCTTGTACCTTCCTCTTTGAAATTATCTTCCACCTAATCTTCAATGTTCCCGTTTATTTGTTTAAATATTGTCACCCCCATTAGAATATGAGCTCATTGAGGGCTGAGATTGCTTTCTCTTTTCTTTGTATCTCCAGTGCTTAGCACATTGCCTGGCAAATAGTGGCGGCTAGGTGGGGCAGTGGATAGAGCACTGGCCCTGGAGTCAGAAGGACCTGAGTTCAAATCCAACCTCAAATACTTACTAGCAAATGGGCTAAAGATGATGATGATGTTTGTGAATGAGATCTAGATTTCTGGACCATGGCTTAAAATATAGGTATAACAGGCTACGGGATAGGTAGGTAGTGCTGTAGGACAGCTAGGTGACACAGTGGCTAGAGTGCTAGGCCTGAAGTCAGGAAGACTCCTCTTCATGAGTTCAAAGCTGTTCTCAGACACTTACTAGCTGTGTGACCCTGGGCAAGTCAGGGTTAAGACTTTGTTTGCCTCAGTTCCTTATCTTAAAAGGAGTTAGAGAAGGAAATGGCGAACCACTCCAGGATCTTTGCCAAGAAAACCCCAAATGGGGTCATGAAGAGTTAGAAACAACTGAAACGATTCAACAACAACAACCACCAGATAGTAAGTACTTAATAAATGCTTTTTGATTGATTACTTGAAATATGCATCATTTATACATAATTGCTTATGAACATTTATGAACATATCCTCATTCTTTGTTATTGGAGAAGTGAAAGGGCTTTCCCTGCCTATCAATACTCTGTCCTATTGAGTCGCATTGGTTTAGGCAATGTGGAATATGAACTACCTGATTTGGAGTCAAGAAGTCTTGGGTTCAAATTCCATTTTAGACATTTACTGGATACATGACCCTTGGAAAGGTTGTAGCCTCTCCTCATTTCTCACCTGGCTTCAATACTTTGAGACTTCTCTAACTTTTCCACCATGCCTCAGAGAACTCATTATTGGGAAAACACTATCATCTTGCAAGATCTCTTCAGTCCTGGAACCCTACCTTCTCACCACCCTCTGACCCTATGATCGCAAGGTGGAGCCATGGAGTCTAAAAGGAGGGAGCACAGCTCAGAACATCTCTTTATCTCTCATCTGGCTGCACTATGACTTTTCCACCATTTCCACCCCTCTCTCTTTTTCAGTCCCTTTTGTGTGTTGTCTTCCCCCATAAGATTATAAGCTCTTAGAGGTCAGGGGCTGTTTTTCTTTCTTAAAGATTTCTATGTCCAGCATTTAGCACAGTGCCTGGCACATGGCAGGCATTTAATAAATGGTTATTGACTTCCTGATTCACCTTATTGACCCTCATTTCGCTAACTTGTAAAACAAGGATGATAATGGCATCTACCTCATAGGGTTTGAGGTAAAGGTCAATGAGCCAATGTACATAAAAAGTGTTTTTACTAACTTTAAAATGTTAAAAAAAATTTTGTTATTTCTGTAATTAATTTTGTAAAAGATATGAAATTAAGTTTTTCTAATGTAATGGCTGTTAACTGAAGTAAGAAAATCAGTTTAATGAGGTTTCCAGATGGTCATGGAAAAGCAGTTAGGTCATAACATCTTACCTTAGGCTCCATTAGAAAGCAGTGCATGGCCTGGGTGACGTCAGCCGCATGGACAGCATTATGATAAGGATTTTGGCTATGGTAATCTTCTTGAACCATAACTGGCAGGTAAGCAAAGGTCAGGATTATGCACCATCACCTTCTAAGGCATTTCCAAAAGCTTACACAAGTATTTCACAGGATCTAGGAGTTATTTTTCTATAAAAATATTGACATCTAGAAGTTGTGCAGCCTAGGGACCTTCTACAAATCTATATAATTTGCATGCTTGGCAATCTTACTGGTTCTTTTTTTTTTTTTTGGTGGGGGTTTGGGGAAAGGGACTAAAAGGATTTGTGAGGCCCTAGAGAATTCCTGACCTCCTTCATAAATCACTCCTTTCTTGCTCTCATGAAGGCTTTCATTCAGAAGTAAAATAAATATGTAGAAAAAAGAGCACATTTACTCCACAGTATCATGTAATTATTTTAGGGTGCTGCCATTTATGAGCAATATGTCATCAAGGTATTTTCCTTTAAAAAATTTAGTAGCAGCATAAGGTTACTGATCTCCAAAGGGTCGTTTAGTGCTGGCCTAATACACACTGACTTCAGGCAAATACGTGTACCTGGGACTCTTGCTTGCTTTGGGCTGAAACTCGAGTTATAGAGTGGGTCCAAGTGGGGATTTGGGTTTGTTTTCACCTTGTTAAGGTCAAATTATCATCTTATCCCTACACTCCTGCTGTCTTCTTCCAGACACAGAGAACTCATTGAATTAAAGGTGATGGGGGAGGGGACAGAGGAGGAAGGCGTATTTGGTTTGCTGTTTATTATATCCCTTAATCTAGTAGGCTTATAACTAGGCTGACTTTAAAGGACAAAATAGTCAACATGTGTAACATGACTAATGAGGACTGCAAAATGTCACATATACTTGAAGGATGCATGCTATGCCATTTACTCTGGAATTCTATATTATTTAGTTTACCCAACTATTGTAATCTTCATTTGTTCTTAGTATAATTATTTCGACATTTTCAGTTATTCACGTGAATGGATCAGGGTAGTCCAAGAAAACTTTGAAAATATCTCTGTAAAACCCTTTTTAGAGAAATAAAAACTAACCACACAAAATATTTTTATTCATAGCATCTCTTTTCCATAGCCACATGTAATTAACTCTAGATTGGCTGTACCTGTGGGAGGAAAACAGGACTATGGATATTTCCACACATTTCTATTGGAATGAGTGTATTATGTGGTAGCCTTCCTCCCCTTTCTCCCACAGAAAATTCATTTCACAATTATAGTTTTCTTGGGCTTGTATTAAAATGAGTTTGCATTTTCTGAGAACAAATCTACTAATGGTTTGCAGAAAGCACTTTAGAAACGTGATGGGTGGCAGTGGGAAGCCACTTTGGAATATAAAATGTACCCTAGATAATCCCCAGGTAGATAATTGGAAATATGCTAAAAGCTAAAACAATTATCTATGCTACATGGTAATGAACAAATGAACTTATTGAAAATTGAGGTTACATTCTAACTCCATATTTCTAACAGCTTGCTGGACATTTCCTCCTCTCTGTCCTATTGACATCTCCAGCTGGCCATGCCTCAAACTGAACTCTTCATGTTATCAAAATTTACCTCTTCTTTCAGCCCCTCAATTTCTGCTGATAACATTGCTGTCCTCTTAGTCACTCACGCTTAAAATATGAGTGATCACTCTTTCTTTGCTCCACCTCCATCCCAACATCTATTCAGTTGCCAAATCCTGTTGACTGCTTGCCTCTATGTCTTCTTTTCTGCGCCTGCTTCTGCTCCCTGACTCAGGCCCTCTTCATCTTTCTCATAGACTATTGTAATAGCATTGGAACTGCTCTTTCAGTCTCTCTGGTCTACTCTTCATACCATTACACAGATAATATATAGCCTTGCTCACGTCCAGTTGTCTGCCATAAATCTTGCAGTGCTTATCCATTGCCTACCAAATAAAGCACAAATTCCTTATCATGGGGTAGAAGATCCTTTTCAATCTAGCTCCAACTCCTCCTAGCTTTCACTTTTCACACCTTCCACATTTCTGCCATATTTCACCCTACTCCCCTTCAGGTACTTTATTATCCTGCCTAATCACTATCAATAACTAAATCAATCAATCAGTCATTAACTAAACACTCCATTAACCATCTTTGCTCATGCCATTCCTTGTGCTTAGAATCTCAAAAAAGAAATTTACATAACTTTATTATGTATTTAAAAGGAATAGCAAGTTATGCATAACAGATTTGCAGTATCATGAGCAACCATCTTTCTTTTTATTATAGTATGTTATGGAAATGCTTGTTTTATTTCATAAATTAAAAAAATAAAAATAAAATTAAAAAAGAATGTCCTTCTCTTAACTCTGTTTATTGTAATTTTACTTATCCTTCATGTTCCAGGCTCTATCGCCATCTTCTCCCTAATAGCCCTAGTTTAAAAAAATATATATCTTTTCTTCCTTGAAACTTTCATATGGCATTCTGTACCATGTAGGTTCATTCTCCATTGTAACTATTTTTGTATAAGCCTCATCTGCCTTAATAGAGTGCAAGCTTCTTGAGGTAAGGGAATACATCATATCTATCTCGCTATTTCTCACAGCTTTACACAAGTAGATACTTAAAAACGATGGCTGAATTTTTGAATTTATCAAGGCAAAGAATTTCTTGTCATCTTATTTCTCGTAAATGAGTGCAGGTCATTCTTCATCAGTTACCAGTCTTTTCTACATCAACTTTTTAAGCATGATGAATAAATCTGGGCCCTCACAACATCAGGCTGTTTGAGACTGCTGGCCCTTCACATTGAAAAGTAAGCTGTACCCCTTTTAATTGTTTGGAAACACAGAGGAAATTACTTACCTAAAAACTTATGTAAGGTCACCATGTCTAAGTGAAAATGATGAATAAGCCCATGGCTGTTGAAGAGGTGGCACAGCAACGTGACCAGGCTGTTTCCTAAAGGAAGATAAGAATGTCAGTAAACAAAAAGATGTTCACAGAATCTGATATCAAACCTCCCCTAAGGCTGGGCTTCTTACTCTGGTGTCCATAAACACTTGAGGGGGCTGTGCATTGATTTTCAGGGCGGTCTGTGAACTTAGAAGGGAAAAAAAAAATTTGATCTTTATTTTATTCATATTTCATTTTTTTTTCTTATTACTGGCTTCTTTTGTAAACCTGTGCATTTTATTTGATGCATTTATAAACATTATTCTAAGAAGAGGTCCATAGGTTTCACTAGACTCCCAAAGGGGTCCATAACATAAGAGAGGTTAAGAATCCCCTCTCTAAGGGAGTTAATGTTCCACTTTATTTTTGAAACATTTAAGGAAGAATGAGGACACCAACATGGCCTCACCTAACTTAGGTTTTCCTGAGCTAAATCAACCTGCATAGGAACTCCCTATGCTAAATTCAATTAAGAATAATATCAACAACAAATTAAAGATGAAAGCTGCTGTTATGAGAATAGGAACCTTTTATTTACTTTTTTTTGTTTTAAAAAAAGTATATATAGCACAAATATCTCACATATATTAGTCTTCTTGACTTCAAAAATCTTGACAAAAAAACACGATGGGGATATTTTCAAGAGTCATTCAGAAAGAATTAGGTTAAAATTTGAAGTTGGAGTACTGAGGGAAAATGTACTCATAACACACACACACACACACACACACACACTCTCCTGCCTATTGGTAGAGAATGTCAGTATGAAATTTATGAAGAAATACTAATTTCTCGCTCTTATTTTGTTTTATTTTTATAATAGATGGACATAATGTATAGCTGCATTCCCAGCGTGGAAGTGCACAGTGATAACAAAGCTGCCGCCATAGATACAACTCTGCTGGTAACAGTGTGGGTCTAAACCTGTGATTTTATTCGCAGAAGAAAATCCTGGTAAGGAAATGTTCTCTTACCAAAGCAGATTGCCAACAGTGCTGTGTCTTATCATCTCAAAGAATTAGTCACCTGGCACACTGAGAGATTTTGATCAGAGAAAGGACTTAAACCCCAGGTATTCTTGGTTCCAAAGGTGGTTCCTCTACCTACTATGCCACTCCTCCTACAGGTCAGTGTTAGGCTAAGTTTCTAGTCTTGCTAGTCATGTTGCAAATGTATATTTGCTATGTCTTACAGGGGTGAATAAAGAACAAATAAAAAAACCTAGAAAACAATCTGAAATACTAATTAATTTAAAAATAATTAGATTTAAATGGTAAAATGAAGGTGTCACTGTACGTATATGGAGATAATCACTTTAGTTTTTTCCCCCTTACTTTTGATGCATGGAAGATAATATTTTCATGAAGATTGTTACAATAAAACAAAATATGAGACAGCTTCTTATGCTATCTTTCACCTACTTAGCACACAGTAAGTCCTATATAAATATTTAATGACTACTTTGGGTGACTAGCAGTAGAAACAGCTGTGATAATACTATATATGTATGTATATAATATACATACATTTTATATATGTGTGTGTATGTGTATGTATATATGGATATGTGTGTGTGTGTGTGTGTGTATGTGTGTGTGTGTATCACAAAGCATTGGACTAGGAATTCTGAGACCTGGTTTCAAAATCTGTTTCAGATAATCTATTAGCTAATGACCATTGGCAAGTTATATAACCTCTCAGAATCTCGGTTTCCTCATCTGTCAAAAATGGGCATAAGAAAAGCAGCTTCATGTAGACTTTTTGGTCTCAAGACCCCTTTACACTCTTAAAAATTATTGAAGACCCCAAATCCCAAAGAACTTTTGTTTATGTGGATCATATCTGCAGATATTTTCTATAGTAGAAATTAAAATGGAAATATTAAAATTTTTAAAGTAAAAATAATAAATCTATTTTATGTTAAAAATAAGATATTTTAATGGAAATAACAATTTTCCAAGACAAAACACAATTTAGTGAAAAGAGTGGCATTGTTTTACATATTTTTACAAATCTCTTGAATGTCTGGCTTAATAGGAGACAGTTGGATTCGCACATCTGTTTCTGCATCCAATCTGTTGCAATATGCTGTTTTGGTTGAAGTACATGAAGAAAATCTGGCCTCATGGAGATACGTAGTTGGAAAAGGGAGGAGTATTTTGATAGGCAAATAATGTTTTAGTATTATTATGAAAACAGTTTTGACCTGGCAGCTCCCCCTGAAAGTGTCTCGGGATCTAAAGAGAAGCGATGCCACAGCAGACTTTGATAGTGTACTTTGAGAACTGATACATAGAGATAGTTGGCCTTAGACTCAGAAAGACAACACTCAAACCCTGCCTTTGACATATACTGGCTGGGGGACCCTGGTTTCCTCGCCAGGAGTTCTCTACAACGGTCCAGTTTCCCTATCTATGTCACAGATTGTTGTAAGGAGAGTACTTTTGGTACAATGAATAAAGACTGGCTGGGGAATTCAGAAGACCTGAGCTCAAATCCAGCCTGAGACATGTACTAGATGTATGACCTTATGCAAGTAACTTAACCTCTGTTTGCTTCAGTTTTTTCAACTATAAAATGCAGATAATGATAACATTTGCCCTATAGGGTTGTTGTGAGAATCAAATGAGATAATATTTGTAAAGTGCTTAGCACAGTGCCTGGTGCATAGCAGATACTATATAAATGCTATTATTATTGTTATTATTATCATTATCTATTGCTATAACATAAGACTGCTCTTATAATTAATACAATAAAAATGGAGTTTCTTAGCATTATTGTGAGAGCATATATTTAGAGTTAGGTGAGACCTTAGAGATCATCTGCTCTAATTCTCTGATTTTACAGATGAGGAAACCAAGGCTCAGAAGCTAAACACCTTGCCCAAAGTTGCACAGGATGCAAATGTCAAAATCAGAATATGAACCCAGGTCTTTTGATTGCATATTTGGTCCTTTCCTTATACTAACCTGTTAAGTTTGAGTATTATCGGTTTCATTATTTTGTTATCATATATTATATAGCCATAATCATTTGACTATAGAGTAAATAGTAAGAAGATCTATATCTTTTATGTACAAAAAGTTATTTTAGTCAATCGACCAGAAAACTGTATTTCACTTAACAAAATTCCACCACCACATAATATGACCTCTTTTTATTCCTACTATTTTTCAGCCAGGTAAGGTATGCAATTTTCTTTAGCCCATAGCTACCTGTCTGATATTCAGTTATATTTAGGCAGGTTTTATGAGGGAATTTATTGTTCTGAGGCTTGGCTGGAAATGAGCATAGCTCATTTTCTTTGTTTTACTTTGTTTTGTTTTGTAGATGGAACTTTTCTCAATGGCAAAAGAACAATGTTGTCAACTTCATGACCCCATTTGGGGTTTTCTTTCATGTTCTTTTGCCATTGAGAAAGGTTCCATCTACAAAACAAAACAAATCATCACAGAAACACTGAATTTCAGAGTTGGAAGGGACCTCAGTGGTATTCTAATTGGCACTTGAGCAGGAATTATCTCAACATCACCAATAAGTGTCAACCATCTGTGTTGGAATTCTTCCAATAAAAGAAAATCTACCGTCTCTGGGGCAGCCCATGCCATTTTTATACAAATATTCATTTTAAGGAAGCTTTGCTCTTTGGGGATGAGGAAAATTAATCTGAAATCTCATATGTCATCACTTCCAATCCTTGAAGACATCTTGCATTTTTCATGATTACATGTCAACTGATTCACATATTGCATTATGTCTAATTCTCTCCCCATCGTGGTCTCCTTCCCTTTCCTCCAAATTGTCAATGGCAGCTTGTCAACATCTTTCCTAAAAGGTGACATCCAGAACTGAACTCTGCCTTACTGAGGTGTTCTAACTGGGGTACACCACAAAGTGACTACTGTCTTGCTTGCTGTAGATGCTATCTCTCTTAATAAAGCCTTGTTCACAATTAGCATATTTTTACTGTAATGTCACACTGTTGAGGCTCAAGTCCATCCAAACTCCCAAATATTTTTCAGATAAACTGTTTTCTGGTCACGCCTTTCTCATCCTGTACTTGTTTCTTGAATCCAAGTGCAAGACTTTATATTTACTTTTATTACATTGTATTTTTATTGGATTTTACCCTTCGTTCTAGACTGTTAAGATATTGCTGGAATGTTACTCTTAACAATATGACTCTGTTAGTGTCTCCTCCCTACTCCATTACCATTTATCTATTTTCTGTCTGTTTTGTATCTATCTATATCTACATATCTATATCTCTCTATATATCTATCTACATGTACATGTTATCTCCCCTAGCTAGATCATAAGCTCCTTAAGGGCAGGAATTGTTTCACTCTTACCTTTCTATCCATAGCACCTAACATAATAGCAATTTTTTGTTGTTCAGTTGTTTCAGTCATGTCTGACTCTTCATGACCCCATTTGGGGTTTTCTTGGCAAAGATACTAGAGTGGTTTGCCATTTCTTTGTCCAGCTCAGTTTACAGATGAGGAAACTGAGGCAAACAGGGTTAAGTGACTTGCTCAAGGTTACACAGGTAGTAAGTGTCAGAGGCCAGATTTGAACTCAGGAAGATGAGTCTTCCTGACTCCAGGCCTGTTACTCTATCCACTGTGCAACCTTACTGTCCATAGTTGTTGTTTGTCCTTCATTCTCAAAGAGGACCTTGACATCAGGAAGGTGATGCCATGACTTTCAAGTAAATTGGATTTAAATGAGGGAGGGCTGTGCAAAGTCCTTTGGAGCCATCTGGGTCCAGTGGCTAGATATAGGTCAGGATGACTGGAAATGAGTAACTCTGTGAGGTGGGTATGACAGGTGTCATTATTTCCATTTTACTGATAATGGAATTGAGCTGTGCATAGTAGTACATAGTAAATGCCCAATAAATTCTTGTGGATTAATTAATGACTCTGGATTCCAAGGAGTTAACTATCTCTTCCAGTTTTGTGTCTTCTGCAAATTTGATAAGAAGCCATCTAAACCTTCCATTTAAGTCATGGTTATAAATGTTCATGAGCGCAGCCATGGGTGAATCCATGTGGCAATGCAGAGATTTCCCTCTAGGTTGACATTGACCCATCAATGGTGGCACTTTGAATCTCTTTATTCAAACAGTATAGAATCTACCCAACTGTACTATCATCCAACTCACATCTCATTGTCTTGTCCACAAGGATGGAAAGAGAGACTTTGTCAAAAGTTTTACTGAAAACAAGGAATAGGAACTAGACATGATTTCATTAATATAGGAAACTCCCTCTACCTGAGCAAATGGACAACTTCTCTGAAAAGTATAGTCTTTTTTTTTTTCCTTTTGGTGAGGCAATCAGGGTTAAGTGACTTGCTCAGAGTCACATAGCTAGTAAGTGTTAAGTGTCTGATGCTGGATTTGAACTCAGGTCCTCCTGACTCCAGGGCTGGTGCTCTATCTATTGCACTACCTAGATACCCCTGAAAAGTATAGTCTTAAAAAGAATTGTCTAGAGCATTCTCCAGCAGAGCTAGAGAGGTTAAGTGATTTGTCAAGGTCACATAGCCAGTATGTGTCAGAGGCACGACTGAACCAAAGGTTTCCTGGCTTTAAAGGCTTTCTATCAACTATGCCAGGCTATAATGATCTCTATCTCTATATCTATTTTTATCCCTGTCTGTATACACATACATATATGCTTCTTGTTGTTCATTCATTTTTAGTCATGTCTGATTCTTTGTGACCCATTTTTGGGGTTTTATTGGCAAAAATATGGGAGTACTTTGACATTTTCTTCTCCAGCTCATTTTACAGATGAGGCAACTGAGGCAAACAGGGTTAAGTGACTTGCCCAGGGTCACACAGCTAGTATCTCAGGCCAGATTTGAACTCAGGAAGATGTGTCTTCCTGATTCCAAGCCCAGTGCTGTATTCACTGTGCCACCTTGCTGCTCCACATCTGTGCTAGATGTATAATTATATAATGATATTCTATGAGACTACTTGTGATAGTTTCATTATATAATACATATGTATATATACATAATATGTTAGGCATATACTTATATAATGAAATTCTGGGAGACCACTTGTGATATGTTAAAACTTCATGTGTTTACATTAAAATAATGTGGTATAGTGAAAAGAATATGACCTTGGGCCAAAGCACTGCTATGTTACTTACTAGTTGTGTAATTTTGGAGAAGGCATCGAAATTCTCTTGATTTCAATTTGCTTATCTCTAAAATGAGGGAGTTGGACTAGTTATTCTCTATAATACTTAAATTCTATTATTCACATCATTTGGGAACAAAAAAATCAAAATCTTTTTATAAATTAAACTGACATAGATGTGAAATTGACATTGTGATCATTTGTGTACATAAGGAGGCATCTAGGTGGTGAAGTGGATATAGCACTGGGCTTGGAATCAGGAAGATCTGAGTTCAAATCCAGCTTTAGGTACTTAATGGCTGCACAACTATGGGTAAATAACTTAACCTTTGTTCGCCTCAGTTTTTTCAACTGTAAAATGAAGATAATAACAGTACCTACCTCCCAGGGTAATGTTACATGGATCAAATGAGATGGTAATTATAAAGCACTTAGCACAGGGTCTGGCACATGTATAAATGCTCATTCCCTTCCCTTTCTCAAGTGAAGAATTCATTTTCTTAATAGCAATGGTTTTTACTTGACAGAGTAGTTTAGAGTTTTTTTGGGTTAGTGTAAAATATCATTTGTATGGACCCTTTATGCTCAATGTTAGAGGATAGCACCAATGAGTTCTGTTCTCCATACTACCTATATAGCTTTGCATAAGAAATGCATGGCCACGCCTATCTCTTTATAATGGCCAGTCATTTCACAATCCATGTTGCTGCATGATGAAAGATGGCAAATGATGGGTACTTAAAGTGCATGTTTCATTAATGGAGGGGTTAATTGATAGGTGCCATCTTTGTATGTGAAGTCACACAAAAATGGTTTAAATTTTAGTGGTCTGTCTGATTCAGAATAGCTCATATATTTCATCAGAGAAGAATCTGAGCAATAGGTGATGACGGTTCAACACAGGCCTTTAAGATTTCTCTGTGAAAAGCTATAGAGAAATTTTCATGGGTCAATCCATATGGCAGAAAAAATCAGAAGACTATGGGCAAATTTCTGGTGTTTTTGGATTGTGTAGCCACTCAAGTGCTTAATTCATTTGGAGACTTAAATTATGGAGTAGATGTAGGTGTTTTATAAGCTTAAATGAAATATTGATCATAAAGCACTTTGCAAATCTTAAAATGCTATATAAATACCAACTATCATCTTCCTCCTCATCATCATTATCATTAGACTCCAGTTACTGGGCCTTCCGTCTGGTGATGATTTCATTCTCTTATACTTTCGCTGAACTCAAGTAATATTTATAGATCAATATAGGGGTGTACTGTTAAATGTTTAACAACTGGGGTCTCCAAGAAAAAAAGCATGTACACATGGCTTTTGAGTTTAATCTGCACTATTAACATTTTCTTAATTCTAGATAATCAATAAAACAGTAACTTGAGCCCTGACTTGCAGTGATTTCTGATCTGTAAATGCTTACACAATCAGTTGTCATAAGATGGCTCCAACAGACCCCTGGGCAGACCCCACTTTTTCATTGCTTCTTATTTTATAGCACAATCATATAATCCTACCTAAAAAGTAACTATAGTATATCAAGCATTTTTCCTGATAATGCCAAATAAGTTTGTACAAATGAATACAGCAGTTTTTGTCAAATCCTCTGACAATTTGCCTTATGATAAGATTTCCAGGCATATAACACTGTTAAGTTGCCCATATATTGATACTTCTTTTTTGCTCAGTTGATGTGATTCGGATCAATACATTCTAGGCTGAATCTACTCTTACAGGATCATCATGGCTTTTAACCCTGTTTGCCTTAGCTCCTTATCTGTAAATTGGGAACACACTGGAGAAGGAAATGGCAAACCACTCCAGCATCTTTGCCAAGAAAACCCCAAATGGGGTTATGAACAGTTGGACATGACTGAAAATGACTCAACAGCAAGCCTGTTGCCAACAACAGAAATACCTCACAAACCACAATCGTTATAAAGGGTGGAGAACCAATGCCAATACCCAGTAATGTTGACACGGTCTTGCCTCTTCCACTCATGGTGTAGCAAAAAGAGTGCTAGTTTTGAGTCTCCCCTACTCGTTCTCTGAAAGAAGATTGGTCTTCCTTAACACTAACTGCCACATACCAGCCATCATGTTACGATTTCCTGAAACCAATAAATGCTTCTTGCATTTGCAATGAATTACTTTTCATCTCAAGTGTACCTGTAATGGTGAGACTTATGCAAGGAACTTTACCCCTGGGACTGTAAGTGACAGTGCCTGTTTACCCTTTCATGGCCTAGCCTTACTACAATCCTGCTTCCTGACAGTAGTATCATTAGTAATGATGATGATGATGATGATGATGATAAGCACCACATAGCATGTTATGGTTTGCAAATCACTTTTTGCAAATACATATATTATCTCACTTGATCCTCACAACGACCCTATGAAATAGATGCTGTTATTACCCCCATTTTGCAGATAAGAAAACTAAAGCTAAAAGACGTTTAAAGTGACTTGCCCATGGTCATACAGCTAGTAATTGTCAGAGGTGGGACTCAAACCAATCTGTCTCCTAAGTCCAGATCTTGTCCACTTTCTACTGTACCACAGCTGCTTCTCAAAGAAAAAAAAGAAGGGGTAGGAGTAGGAAACAGCTTGAGACTATGGGAACAGCTTCATTTCTAACTTTTCTCACTCTGACCCTGTTTATGTAATGAAGTCTCTGCGTGTGTCCAGAGCAGTGGAAGAAGGATTGAGTCTGGCCAGCAATGAGGGTTGATTTTCAGATTTATGAAAAATGTAAAAAAAAAAAAACAACCCAAAACAAACAGGAAATGCAATACAGGGTGATTAATAAGGAAATAATCTCATGGAAATTATTGTAAGCTAAGGCTTCTATTCCAAAGAGAATTCTTTTAGATGACTTACCATTTGTCAAGCGATCAAATAAGAAGATGTCAAAATCCCACGTTCCCACTTTGGAGAGCATATGCTGAAAATACAAATAGCAAACAGCAGAACAGATGAATCATGTTACAGATTGTAAAACTGACTTTGATAAATAATTACATTAAACAATAAAAAAGTGCTAAGCTTTTATGCAGTTGAAGGAAGCATCACAGACACATTCTCTTCAAAGCTGGGTTCCAAAAGAACAAATCTTAACTTAATTCTAATATAATTTGAATTTATTTGTGTGAGTGTGGTCCAAATGGCAAGCTATAATCAATAGCCCCGGTTGGAAATGTTATCTCTAACTAAAAATGACACCAAAACTAGTAGTGAGCATATAATAAGTTTATTCAACAAATATTGGGAGATTGAGTTCTTGATTATCCAGGCTAATGGAGCAGAGATGTGGAACATAATTTTAAAATAATTTATTTTGCTTTGAAATGTATTAATCTGAAAATGGCATTTCTGATGTTCCAGTAATTCATAATATTTCAAGGAGAACAATGAATACCTCGACTCTGAAGGACTTGAAGAGTGATCTCCTATTTCCAACTCCCCTCCTTGTTTTAACTCGTTGTTAAGTCAACTTACTGCATTTTAAGAGTAGAAATCATCGTCCCTTGGACTGACTCAAAACACAAATATGTAGGACTGATAATAAAAGTTTACATTTATGTGATGTATCTTCAGTTTACAAACCTCCATCATTAGCCAGTGATCACATGGGACCTTTTATTGTGACATCATATCGCCAAACTTCTTTTTTCTACTCAAGCCTATTCGAGGAGCATTTATTAAATATTTACTAGGTGCCAGGAACAAAAGAAAAAAATGAAAGAATCCCTGACAGCAATGAACTTTTTACTGGGAGAAACAACATATATATATGCACACACACATATATGTGTATATACACACATGTATGTATATATATGCATGTGTATATATATAGGCAAAATATGTAGAAAGTAGAAGTTTATTTATCTATTTATTCATCTATCAATCTATCTATTGGGGGAGAGGGAGGTAGGGTGGGGATTGCTAACAGCTAGGTTGTTATTACAGTCATAGACAAGTATTGAAGAAGTTTTTATGAAACTACTAGGAGAAACTTTTCTGAACTTCTTCAAGAACTCCAGTCAATGATATTTGGAGAGTTATGGTACAAAGGATTTGAAATCAGTTCATCTGGAAGAAACTACTCTTCCTTATTTAGGTTACATTTATAACATAAAATGGAGTGGAGGATTTACTGGGTTAATTTGAGGGTAGAAAATCTGCCTGGATAATTCATCGTAGCAAAAACATTTGGTGAATCAAAATTCACTTGATAATTGCCAACTCTCCATTCCACTTTGTACTGTACAAATAAATCCAGGCTTTGAGCACAGAGTTGTTGCAGGGGAAAATATTAGGTGATCCTCAGGGGAAAATATTGAGTTTTCCTCTGACTGTTGTATTTTAGAATAGTAAATTAAGAAAGAATACCAGCTCATTACACTTCTGAGAAAGGCCAATAGAGAAAAGCTTCCTACCCTTGCCTGACCCAGGTAGTCTTCATCCAGGAAGTGCAGAGGGGAAGGAGGTATAGCTCCTCGGAGTAGCCGGGATGCATGGAAATATCTTTGAAAGCTCAGCAGTCTTTTTACTTTCTTCTTGGTACCAATTTCCCCTGAGTGTGCTGTGTCTATGAAAAGAGATCAGAGAGGGAACTGTAATGGAAAACAAAGGGATGCAAGACTATCCTTAAAAATTATCGTTACTTACAAAAAACAAACATAGTAGGATTTTTGGAGAGGGGAGGAAGAGAAAAGCTTGACCTACTACGACTTTGTTGGCATAGTAGTTAGTATAGTATTGGCATAGTTATTAAATCCCAATGAGGAAACTTCATGTACCAATGCAGATAGTTACCCCTTCTGCAGTTGCCTGGGGGAATTGCAGCGAGAGGTTAAGAAACTAACAAAAGGATTTGTCTTTTTCTGCTAATTTAAAACTATACCAAATGATCCCAAAGATTTCCTGAAAACTTATACATTCATGCAGGTACAATGTTTTCTTATAGCATCACTCTGATGAAATATAGGCTTGTTGTCGTGTTTAGTTATTTTAAGTTGTGTTTGACTCTTCATGACTCCACTGGGGTTTTCTTGGCAGAGATGCTAGAGTGATTTGCCATTTCCTTTTCCAGTTCATTTTACAGGTGAGGAAACTGAGGCAAAGAGGGTTAAGTGACTTGCCCAGGGTCACACAGCTAGTAAGGGCCTGAAGTCACATTTGAATTCAGGTCTTCTTGACTCCAGGCGCTCTATCTGCTGTGCCACCTAGCTGCCCATGTGCCATGCACTGTGCACTGATAATTCCTCTAGTACAAAAATTAATATTTATCACGTTATATTTATTACAAGGATGCAAGACTGTCCTTTAAAAATATCATTACTTACAAATATAAATGTTTCAGGATTTGGGTTGGAGGGAGGGACAAAGCTGGCTTTTGCTGGTATCGTAAACTCCCAATGAGCAAACTTCTTGCACTAGTGCAGATAGCAGCCTCCTCTACAATTCAGAGTTTTAGGCAATTGCCTGGAGGGAACTGAGAGTCTAAGTGATTTGCCTAGGGTCATACAGCAGTTAAGTGTCCTAGGCAGGAATTGCACCTAGGTCTTTCTGACTCTGAGGCTGGTCCTTTACCTACAATATACACTGTCTTCTTTAGTGCCTTTGCAGGTACTTGGGCTGTGTATATTAAGGCACTAATTTGTTATTGGTGGTTCTGACATGAATAATATGAGGACTTAATTCTTACATCAGGCTTGAGTGATACATTTAAAATGAATAATCATGCGTTCTAATTACATGTTTAAATTGAGGTTTACAAATAATAGACCTGATTTTCATCAAATATATTACTGGTCTGAGTGAAACCTTTAGCCGAGGCAAATATTATCATGGACTAGGACTATTTAATTTCCACTTTTAATCTCTGTGACCAGTAGGAGAATAGGAAATATACCTGTTTATAATTGAGAAACTGAGGCACAGAGGAGGAAAGGTTAAGACCGTTTCCATTCAATTTAACAACCATTTATGAAGTGCCTACTACGTGCTATGAGTGCTGTGAGACAGTGGCAAATACCCAATAATTAGATTACGGAAGTGAATTAAGACTTCTTGGCACTCACCGAAGATTCTATAAAGCATGAACATCTTCTTCTTCTTCTTTTTTCTTTGGGAGACAATCAAGGTTAAGTGACTTGCCCAGGGTCGCACAGCTAATATGTGTTTGAGGCGGGATTTGAACACAGGTCTTTCTAACTCCAGGGCCAATGCTCTATCCACTGTGCCACCTATCTGCCCCAAGTGAAAATTTCTTAAAGGGAATGTACTCTGACTAATGGCCACTGATTTTGCTAGCAGGGATTTAATTAATTACATATAACATGATTATATGTAGTTAATATACTATATGTCTTCCAAATCCTTCTAGATCAAGAGATTTAGAAGAAGTCTCATGGTATAGTGGTTAGTATAGTGTTGGCATAGTTATTAAATCTCAATGAGGAAACTTCCTGTACCAATGGAGACAGTTACCCCTTCTGCAGTTGCCTGGGGGAATTGAGAGGTTAAGAAACTAATAACGAAAGGATTTGTCTTTTTCTACTAATTTAAAACTATACCAAATGATCCCAAAGATTTCCTGAAAACTTATGATGTATCTATATAATTCACTGGGTAAAGTGATATAAATTCATACAGGTACAATGTTTTCTTATAGCATCACTCTGATGAAATACAGGCTTGTTGTCGTGTTTAGTTATTTTAAGTTGTGTCTGACTCTTCATGACTCCACTGGGCATGGCATGTTGAGTGGAGGATCTACATTTGGGAAGACAGGAACAAGACTTATGTGTAAAGAATAAACATGGATAAGTTGCTTTGTATTGTTGCAAGGAATGTATACTTTGATGGGATTACAGATCCATTGAAGTATCAAAATAAATCTTCCAAATGAAAATGTAATAGCAGAAATGACTGTCTAGAAATGCTATTAATTCACTAATTAATTACACATTGAGATTGAGGTATACTTTAGCCCTGTTGAAACACTATGACTCCTGCCTCTAGCTTCCCATACACTCTTTTTCAACCTTGTACCTATAATTCTAAGTTTTATATACAAAAGAAAGTGGTATGATATGTACAACTTTGCATCTGAAGCATGCTTCCTATAATGCTTTCCTTCTTTCATGTCCTGATTCAAGGATAGTTTAAGTTTTTGGTTGATCAAATATCCTATTTATAATGACAAGACAGTAGTTTGGATAGCATAAATCCAGGAAGAAAGGGATGGAAAAGTGTCCTTATATATACACACTTCTTGCCCCAGTGATAATGAGCAACTAGAAATAGTAAAGCTTCCTTAGACTACTCATGCAAAGGGAGATGGAAAACCCAATAATAGATAATTTAGGGAAGAACACACATGTACACACACATGCATTTTACAGAGAGAGAGAGAGACAGAGAGACAGACATACCAATATAATAATATGCTACTTCGCTAAATCTCATGAAATACTTTGATTTCCTGGAAAATTCTCTATTCTGATGAATTAAAAGAAAATTTCCAATGTGTTTAGTGTGTGACAAGGAAATGATCTGTAGTTTCCTTGGATAATGACTATCTCAATAATTAAATAGTTGTAGGGGATAACAATAGTTCTTTTAATATTACATACATGATAGAAACAGAAGCATCCAATCAAATCTCAAAAGTGATGCAAAGAGAGCATAAAGCAGAATATTGAAAGGATGATAAATTCTTTCTGAATTTTCATAGAATTATAGAATGTCAGAGATAGAAGGGAACTTGGAGGTCACCTAGTTCAACACCACCCTCCCTCCGCCTCTACCCTTCCCGCCAAAGCATGAATACCCTTTATAGCACTCCCAATAAAGGTCATCCAGCCTCTTCTGGAAGATCACCAGTGACAGGAAGCTTATTACCTTTCCAGGAAGCCTGTTCTATTTCTGAACAGCTCTAATTATTAGGAAGTTTTTTTATATTGAGCCAAAATCTGCCTTCCCTATAACTTCTACCTACTAGTCCCACTTTTGCCTTGAAGGGCTAAACAGAATCATAATAATTTCTTTTCTAACTTGACAACCCTTCTGGTATCTGAAAGATGACTGTCATCCTCAACTCAACTCCCACTCCAAAGTATGCCCACTTCTAGACTAAACATCCCCAGTTCCTTCAAGGAATCTCTATATAGCCTATATAGTCTTTTTGATAATCCTGGTTTCCCCTTCTCTAGACATGCTAATATTATTTCTCCAAATTTGCAACTGGATACAATATTCCAGGTTTAGTTTGACGAGGACAGAGTTGAGTGGACCTATAGCTTCCTTTGTTCTGGACGTTATGCTCTTACAGTATTAACGACATCTAAATGACATTAGATCTTTTGATGGCCATATCACACACAACACTAATCCATATTTAGCTTGAAGTCAGCTCAACAGACATTTATTATCTACTGTGTGAAGAGTACTGTACCACATCCTGGGGATAAAAGACAAAAATTAAACAGTCCCTTCTCTGAAGGAGCTTATATAATGCTTGTTCTTACTTTCTTAGTTCATTAACATCTATTTTTTTATACACACTATCATTTCCCAATAACTCCATTCCCACCAATAGAACCTTCTCTTTTAACAAAAAAAAATAGTGAAGTAAAACTAATTCTTACAGTGACTACTGAGGAAGTGACTAGAACAAGGTGGCCCAATGACTATGAGAGATAGCAGACGGACAATCCAAGTGGCACATTAATATTCTGATTCTATAAGAACAAGAGGAGGGCTTTCAGCATGTTGGAGAGGCCATCTAAGGTAGCAATGGCCATGTTTTCTGAACCCTAAACTGGGACGTGTGTTTTTACAAAAGATATGCCGGGTGAATAGTAAAGTTTATTTGATTGAAATTGAGATTGTTTGAGAGAATCCAGGACATGGGAGATTTATGGTAAAATGTAGAAGAGTCATATAGGAAAGATAAGGCACAGAGGGACCTTGGTTTGAATCAGTAAGAGGGAATGTCCATACCTAAGAAATCATAGATCATTCTAAGTATTCCCAATGGTCAAGCCTAACCACGAGTCTTCTAATATGTGTATGATAATAGATGACTGTGTCATCATCTGAGTATAGAAGTTCATTCAGAAGTAATGCCTTAGAATCATTTGTTCAAATAATAGGGCTTAGAGTGCCAAAGTTTAGAGATATGATTGGGCCTAAATTAATACTCTCTCAATACAATTTTTTTAAGGGGGTGGGCAGGGCATTTAATAAGAAAGGAAAGAAGAAAAAAAAAGGAAGAGAGGAAACAAGAATTTATTAAGTGTCTACTATGTGCCAGGCACTGGGCTAAGTGCTTTATAAATATCTCATTTGATCCATACAGTGACCTTGGAGGTGGGTTCTATTATTATGTCCATTTTACAGTTAAGGAAACTGAGGCACAAAGATTTTTTCAAGTGACTTGTCCAAGGTCATTAGTAAGTGTCTGAGAACAGAGTTGAATTCAGATCTTTCTGACTTCAGTACCAGTACTCTATCTATTATGCCATCTACCTGACTCAATTCAACAAAATAATATTAATTCACTTATTGAATAAAATTTTA